GGGAAATACAAAGAACAATTAAAGCCTCTGTGTGGAAACAATGCCTGCAGATGTAGAACAAAATAAAACCAGGGCTTTGGATTAATTGGTCGATATAGCCCAACAGTCTCATAGTTTTCAGTTATTTTTGATGCAGTGTTCCAACTGGATAACATTCTGCTGCCAAGGACTGGAATAATAAAAGGATTCCATAGGCATCAAAGGCTATGTCTATACTACAATGATCTATTGGAAAAAGGTACACAATTTTTTTGGAAGAGGCTTTTCCAAAATTTGGCCCATCTTCACCTCCAAAAAAAGTGGAAGAGCAGATGCATTCCTTGGACACGGTGGTGTTTTTCTGGGATACAGAGTGTAGGCATAACCAAAGAGACCCTTAATGTCCTGAATAGCCTTTCCTGTGGTATGAACATTAGCAATTGGAGTCTTTGGTTTGGAGAGGCTTTGGAAACTCAGATGTTCATTTAAAGCTTATGAGAACTTCTTAAGTCTATCAAAGTGACCCAGACTTTTCATGACAACAGTCTCTGTCTCTGATTATGTCTAGACAGTGGCATAGGCTAGTTGCCTGAGTACATTCCCAGGGTCTGTGGTGGGACTATGTTTGGGTGGCTAGTTTACATTGCTGCCAGTGCCACTGTGGTATACTACTAGACACTAGCTCAAGTAGAGCTAGCACATGTATGTTTACCCTAGGCTGGGAATTACACCTCTCAGTTGCTGTGTAAACACATCTTCAGACACTTACTGGGCTTTTATTGCCAACCAGACCCGAACAGAACATATCAACTATTTTTGTCATGATAGTCTGGGATTTTTTATTTGAGTTCCAGTTTTGTCTGGATACCAAAAGAAAAAAAACTGATCCAGACATATATTTCATAACATTAATGAAAAAGTTTGCTTTGGGTTTAGGTATAGAAATAAATGAAGGGTATATAGAATCATAGAACAGTAGACCTGGAAGAGATCTCAAGAGGTCACCGAGTCCCGTCCCCTGCCCTCATGGCAGGACTAAGCATCGTCTAGACCATCCCTGATAAATATCTAACTTACTAGCTCTTAAATATCTCCAGAGATGAGGATTCCACAACCTCCCCATGCAATTTATTACAGTGTTTAACCACCCTGACAGTTATGAACTTTTCCTAATGTCCAACCTAATGACAGTTAGGACTGATAAAATAATGAGAGTGAAATAATTAAGAGAAAGATGCTTTTGGATCAATATTGTATACAGTAAGTAAGCAGGAAACCCTGCCCTCGTCCTCAATGCCAATTCTGCAGCTCTCATTTGCTGGGACCTGGGTCTACAAGTACATGTTGGCTGCTTCTGGGAGCAGCATAGAGCCAGGGAAGGCAGAGAGCTTACCATAGCCCTGCTGTGCATCGGCAGTTGGGAACTACCCAAGGTGAGAACCACTTGGGTGGATCCCAGAGCCCGCACTTTGGAACTCCTGCCCCAGTCCTGAGCACCCTCCTGCACCAAAACTCCAACCGAGAGCCCATACCTCCTCCTGCATCCCAGTCACCTGCCCTACTCTGGTTAAAGTCAATGGGAGTGGAGGAGAGCAAGAGACAGAATAAGGGAGAATGGAATGAGAAGGAGCAGGGCTTCAGGGATGGGGTACAGCAGGGGATGGGGCAAGGGTGATTGAGTTTGCGTGGTTAGACAGTTGGCAGCCTTACTGTCTGGGTGTACCTTGCTAGACTCATCAGATCGGCCAGCTTGTGGCTGGCTTCATCATAGAGTGTGGGGGGGACCATCATCCTATATCCTCTCTTGGCAAATCATATGCCTCCAGGGAGTAGGGACCATGTAGCCCGTGTGCTCAGCACAGCAGAGAGGTTGTAATTCTGCATAGCTTGTACACAGGAAGTTCCTAGAAACCTTATCCTCACTGCACACTTGAGTAAAGTTATTTTTAAGGAACACTGCTAAATAGAAAATAGTATCACTTAATATACTGATCACAGATTTTAAAATAATACTTCTCATTCTGAGAATGTATTTGTTTCTGTAGTGGGAAAGACAAAATTAATAGCTTTATTAGTTCATGGTAAAATTATATATGCATATGGTCTGCATTGTTTTATATCAAAGCTAAAGTTGCCTGTCATGGTAGAGCATGCATTTCTTTATGCTTTACAGAATCTGATGTTTATTAAGTGAGCAGTGTAAGGTTTAGAATGTCCTTGACACTTCATCTCCTTGTTTTTATATATATTTGTAAATTGTGCAATAGGTAATGCCATTCTTTTCAGTAAACAATCATAAGTATTTTTAAAACTGAAAAAATGGTTTGGGAATTTTCCAGATAGTGAAATTATTTTTCAAAATTTTTACTTTTTAAATTTTTTTTCCTTTGTATGGGGAAATGAAGATCCAAACTCGATTCACCACTGACTCACACTTTATGTCCTGAGGCTTCAGGGGGTAGCCGAGTAAGTCTGTTACAGAAAAAAACAAACAAATGGTCTGGTAGCTACCATAAAGGTTTTTTTTTTACTTTATGTCCTGAGGGACTTGGTTTTGATCTCACTCATACCAGTTTTATACTGGTGTAACTTAGTTGATCTTCATTTGATTTACTTCTACTTTAAACTGATATACATGCCACAGAGAATTAGACCCCCAGAAAATCTACTGTACCTGTCTGATTTGATACCATTCTGCACTGACTTTGCCAAGGTGAAAATGATGAGAGATGGTCTACGGCAAAGAAGGATCAGGCCCACAGTCTCAGTTATTTTAAATAAATATGATAAGGGTTATCAAATTATTAATTTACAGAAGCGAGTGTTGCTGGTGAAACTAATAATGGCCCCTTCAAAGCACTGCTTTCTGATCTTTAGTGCAGTAAAACACTCAATAATCATGTGCTTAACTTTTAAGGATGTGTGTCCCCATTTACTTTAGGATTACTCATATTCTTAAAGTTTATTAATGTGCTTAATGATGTGTAGGATAGGCTGGTGTGTCTGTGTGTATCTTATGGCATAAAGTGTGCTTGTATGCTGCATGGCTAAGTTAGCTCCAGATGCCTTAATTGTACAACAGACTCTCTGTCAAAATGCTGGCAAAAAGTGTTTAAAAATCACATCAAATTATGACTTCAGTACACAACTGGAACACAAGTCTTGTTCTACTGTTAGTATCTCCCAGCCAAATCCGTGAGCCTGGTTAACCAATCTAAAAACATGGCTAATATTGCTTGCACTTACATATATCAACGACATTTTAAAAGGTGAACAAATATTATTTGCATTTGACAGTTGGTTTAACTAAGAATTGAACCCTTAAAAACTCATAAGCACATGAACTTTCACAAATAATTTTGAAAAACAAATACATTAGGGAAAAAAACCCCAAGTGAGTGACCACTTCTGAACCAAAAAAAAAGGTAACATTTGTTGAATAAGTATTCCCTATAAAATATTTACACAGCTCTGTTTAAACACAATTTAAAAAAAACAGTATATAGAGCTTTAGCATCAACCTTGAAGGTAAGAACTTATGCAACACTATATAAAGACACATTCCTTAATGTAATATTTCTTTAACAACTTGTTCCATCTCTTCTGGAAGACAGAATGTAAACTGAAGTTGGATAAAGTATATTTCTGCTCTTTGAATGAAATCTGTTCCTTTGCGTCAGCCCAAGGACTATTCTAAGGGCTTCCATGAGATTTAAATGGTATATAGGTTTTGTGGTAACCATCTGCATGAAAATGAATTTTGCCTTTACTGATTTTTTTTCCCACTTAGACCTCAGCAGAGTTATCTAATAAATAGTGACTCTTCATTCTGTTCTTTGGCTTCTGTTGAATTCTAAGTGTGATGTCTCAAGAATTCTAGCAAGAAAGAGCAATTAATAAGTTGCTTTATGAACATGGTAAAAATATCCATCCAAAATGGACTGTTGAAAAGAAAATAACAATGGAAGGACCCTATCCTGTCCTGTCATTGTATAAGGCAGGGCTACTCAACTTTGGAAGCCCCGGGGGCCACCATGATACTCTCAGCACATGCCAAGGGCTGCAACTTAAGTGTGATTGCATATACATTCAAATATATATGCAAATATATGCAAATAGATTCTTTCACACAATGCCCTGGCACTCCTGGAACCTTGTCCTGGGGGGCTAGAAATGCTGACACTCTGTACCCATCTGTTCCAGCCAGCCCATCCACTTGCACCTGTCAATGCTCACCCTGCCTGAGAGATGCCTCGCTGTTGTGGAGCATGTTCCCAGTGGAGGCCATGTTCAAAGGATCCCACCCACAGGTCGCATGTTGAGCCTTGCATAAACCCAAACCTCCCTGTGGGCCACAAACAAACAGCCCGTGGGCCACATGCTGCCCGTGGGCCACTTGTTGAGTAGCCCTGGTCTAAGAGAACTCTGGATAGCACTTTGTAAATTAAGTGGGAGATGGTTTGGTGAAATTTGAGAAATAAAATCTTAATGCAATTGTAATTCAACAGAATTGTCCTTATTATTCCTATGTGGCATTTACTTTGATCTCTTATAACCATTTTTCTACTTTTCAGACTGTTATTGAAAACAGTAAATTCTTTGAGCAGTATGAAGTTACATACCAGATCTTGAAAAGGGCAGCTGAGATGTATGCCAAAGCTAATGGCTCAGGTAAATACCTCTGTATCTGTTGCGATACTGAAGCCATTTTAGTCTATGTTGATTTTAATATCCTTTTGAAATCCTTGGAGTATATTTACATGTCAATTACTTTTCATGATACATTTGTGCTGTGGCTATAATTAACCGTTTGGGATTTTATACTGTGTGGTTATTAGAACCGTACTACTGGTGTGGTTCTAAGTGTTAATTGTAAATGAGTTTTTCCAATTTTGTCTTATAGAAACACTCTGGCTATAACTGAAAATTATTTTGAGTCGCAAAATGTGTAATTCACTCCAATGCAGAAGGCTTGCACAATATCTATGCACCAAATATTTCTCTAATACTTTGTAGTGGCCCTCCGCCTAGGGGTAAATTGCAACCACATTGAATACATTGAAGGAGATATGAAATGTTAATTTCTGAGAACTGAGTAACATTGGTCATTTGGGGGGGAGGTTTAAAAAAAAAGTAACAACCTCCTCCCAAAATATCTGGAATGGTGATGTAACGACTGTCACAACAATAATAGTGATGATGCAATTTGTGCCATTTTGGAATAGTCTTGTGTTTGGGGAGTTCAGAGTAGCAACTATCCAGTGGGAAGTTATAGAAGGATTATTAATCCCTCGCTGAACACCGCAGTACACAGGGGAAGGTGGACCATTTGGTTAGTCTCCAGGATCAGGAAATAGTCTTTTGTTCCTGGTGTGCAAGCAGCGAAAGGAACTTTTGTATTATGCTTCTGCACCCATGTGCAAAGCAGTCTTATCGAGTACCATTATTAGTATAGGTAGTATTCACTGAAGGACCTTTCACAGGCCTTGCAGAATTACAAAGAATGATCCAAATGATAGGTAGTATAAAAAGATGTATGGATGGACTGGCTATTCTGGATTCTAACTACACAACCCCACTGGGTTCAGTGAAATTGCATGGATGGGCTCTGAAGACATCTGGGAGAGACTACTTTAAACACTGTGAAAGAACAGTGATGCAATGTAGGGTGAGATGTGCACTTATTAAAATGGTTCATGAACAGGGAGGGAAAAGAATATATTATCCATTTCAAATGATGCTGTCAACTCAAATCTGTTCTAAAACTTAGATTTTTTTATAAGTTTACAAAACCTAATATTAATAGAAATTATTTCACGATTTTAACAAAAATCCAACAATGATTCATTTTCCAACAAATAAACATTCACCTGAATTATTTGCAGCATGAATAGTGTGAACTAAGGACACCTTAGCTATGAATTGATTTCTTGTGGACTCCTTTACATACATTTTTTTTTCTTTTGTTCTTAAAAAGAGGAATTAAAACAGTATTTCCCAAAAATCAATTAGATCACAGACAGAAAATTCAAAAATTAAATAACAAAAATTCACTATCAGTAATCTGGATTTGCTCAACTGTAAATGAGAAAAGATTTTTACTGAATATTTTCTAATGCAAATACAGCACTGAAGCAATCATATACATAGTTTTCTATTTCAATTTCCTTGTTAAATATAAACCTTCTCATATTACTTTTTTGTTATTAGATGCATGCCCCAACAATATGTAGGATATGTAATGTGACTGAGTTCAAGTGGTATTCTTTATAAACTATATTCTTACAATGTATCTTTAATTTTTCAACTTTACTGTTGTGATGACACAAAGCTGGGGGTACCAATCCTTTTGAGGACAGAGCTAAACTACAGAGAGATCATGATAAATAACTATAGATAACAAAATTACATTCAACAAAGACAAATGTAAGGTGTTACATGCAGAAAAGAAAAACTAAATGTATTAGTACAGAATGAAGAAAAACTGGCTTGGCAGTAGCACTGCTAAAAAAGTTCTGGGAGTTGTGGTGGTCATATCCTCAAGATGAGTCAACAATAGGATGCTGTTGCAAAAATAGCAAATTCAGTTTTCAGTTGCATTAACAGCAGCATAGCATGCAAATCACAGGAGGTGATAGTACTGTTGTTTTTGGTGCTAGTTAGGCCTCAACTGGCATATTGTATCCAATTACAATCCCCAATGTATAGAAAGATAATCAAAGAGATGGAATGCAAGCTATTTGAGCAAAAGTAGAAGAACTTGATATGTTTAGTTTGAAAAATGAGAGATTAAGGGAGAGGAGATATAACTGCAGTCTTCAGAAACTTGAAAGGATGTCAGAAAAAAGATAGAGAAAAGTTGTTCTCTTTTTCTAAATAAGGCAGGACAACGGTAGCAGATGTAGCAGATTTAGATTAAACCCCATGACAAACTTTCTAACTGTAAGACTGGTGGGACAATGAAACAGACTGCATCAGTAGATTGTGGAAGCTTCTCCACTGACGGTTTTCAAAAGGAGGCTAGTTAGCCATATGTGTTGGATGGTTTAGATACAACAAATCCTGCATCTTGTCAAGGGGTTAGACTACAAGACCCTTTTGGTCCCTTCTAACCTATGGTTCTGTGATTAGGTTGTTTGTTTACTGTAACTTAAAACAAACCTACTGATGCTGAAAAGAGTATAACATATGATTACCGAACAAGGACAATAAATGAGATTTAATAATATTTTAATAAAATACTTGGCTAAATATTTCCAGCAGCTCTAAGATTTTAAGTCATGTTTTAAAAATCAATATACTCTATATTTTAGTGGAAGAAGCAGAAAATGTCATGAAATTCATGAATGAAACAACAGCACAGTGGCGGAATCTGTCTGTAGAGGTGAGAAGTGTGAAGAGCATGTTAGAAGAAGTGATTGCTAACTGGGACCGCTATAGCAGTACTGTAGCCAGTCTGCAGGCCTGGCTGGAGGATGCTGAAAAAATGCTGAACCAGCCTGAACATGCCAAAAAGGTAAGGAATATTAGCTACGTCATCCAACCTCTGTATGTGGCTTTTATGACTATTTAATAAAAGTTTTACAACCAATAGGGAAAAAAATGCAAACAGAATACCCCCAAGTAGGTAAGGGACTGTTTGCAGAGGTTTGAAGAGAAGCCCTAGATGATGAGAATTATGGCAAGTTGAGACTTGTGCATGATGTCATTCCTACCCTACTCACTTTGCCATCAGAAAACTTCTCAAATCCATAGTACACTTTCTATGTGAGCATATGTGTACGTGCGCACTCGTAAGTGCATCTATAAATATGAAGAAAAGGAGAGTGAGAGAGAGTGAGAGGGAGCACATTTATTTATTTTAGAAATGTTTTAGATAGTTTAAAAAGTTTTTTTAACTATTGTGTTAATTTATATATTTTGCCATCAAGGCTGTCTGCTTTGGTATTACGAATTAGGCTCACAGCTCAGATGGGTCCATACAATATAATAAATATATTTTAGAATTAAATGACCTAAAATAGTTTTTCACATAAAATGATAACTCTACAGTTTTAATAGCACAGTTTTAATGTTTGTTATCTTTGGGCCTGCCAGTGATAAATAGCTCCTCTTTTACAAGATATCAGGATATAATCCTGTCACTAGTTGGAAACAGAACATTGCACATCATGGGCCACGAGCCAGTTTTTTTTTTTTTTAAGAAATTAAGTACCTTGAGTTGAGGAACAAAGGAGCATTCTCATGTTTGAACAAAAATTATGCCTATAAAAGTTGTCACGGTAGTTTGTCACTGGTAGATAAATGGGTAGATGAGAGAGTCCAATACATGATTAATGGAATTTACCACCCGGGTAACTGATATATGTAGTTTGTGTATATAGTGTTTGAAATGAAACCTTGATATAATCTTTGTGTGTGAATGTATAATCTACATATATGTGTTAAAACAAAGTCTGAACATAAGTGTACAGTGCAGTGTTTCTTAAACTTTTTAAGTCCAAGGAACACCAAACAATTTTTTTTTATGAGGAATACCAAGGATTTTTTGTTGAGCAAAAACCAACCAAACAAAAAAGTTGGGGGGAAAGTTATTGAGGAAAAAAGTGTGGGGGAAAAGTTGAGCAAAAAAAAAAAAAAGTCGCCTGCCTCCTTTAAGGGTGGCCATTTTGAAATCTCTTGTTCTCTGTGGCGCACCTCTGACTGCCTCGAGGCACACCGGTGTGCCAAGGAACACAGTTTAAGAAACACTGGTATAATGCCACCCTTGTGCTGCTAACAGAAGGTAACATAATTTACTTCTGGTCACAGATATTGTCAAGATGCAGTACTAGACCTTAAGAGAGTGACATCAGTATGTTGGTTATATTTTGTTTAGGATTTTTTCCGACATTTACCTCATTGGATCCAGCAGCACACAACTATGAATGATGCTGGTAACTTCCTTATTGAAACTTGTGATGAGACCATATCCAGAGATCTTAAACAACAGCTGCTGCTACTAAATGGAAGATGGAGAGAGTTGTTTATGAAAGTTAAGCAAGTATGTATTGTTATGATTCTTGTATTTAAATTTCCATTGTAATACAACAAAGCTGCCTAAGATTCACAATGCTAAAGCCTACATGGACAATTTACTAGGAGTCCAAGGGCCATGTCTAATATAAATATATAGAATATGTAAATCAGAAATCAATGCATGCTACCAGAATCATTGGTTGAATTTATACCCTTTTAGAAACGTGGATAGAAATGACTTTATTCAAGTTAATCACCAAACATAGTTTGCAGCTTATCTCTGTAGTCTTTGACCTTGATTTTTAAAAAAAATGCATATTCTCTATTGTTGAGAAATTAAAATTATTTTAAAAAAATAGTAATTATATGGGCAGAATCTACAGAGCCAAATTTAGCCCTAGTCTGAGTGAATACATCTAACGCTTTTTTTAATGGGACTTTCACCCACATGTCATAGGGCTGAAGCTAATCAGCAGTAGAGGCAACACACATCAACCAACCAATCCCATTACTAAAGCTATGCTGACATCACTGTTGTTATTACAAGGCACTGAGAGCAAAAAAAACTCGCTTCAGGAAAGAGACTCACCTAGTTGGGAAATCAACATTATCTTGAGAACAGCATGGCTACGTCTAGACTGGCCCCTTCTCCGGAAGAGGCATGCAAAACTGGCAAGTCAGAATAGGGAAATCCGTAGGGGATTTAAATATCCCCCGCGGGATTTAAATAAACATGGCCGCCGCTTTTTTTCCGGCTTGGGGAAAAGCCAGAAAAGAGCGTCTAGACTGGCACGATCCTCCGGAATAAAGCCCTTTTCCGGAGGATCTCTTATTCCTACTTGAAAGTAGGAAAGGGCTTTATTCCGGAGGATCGCGCCAGTCTAGACGCTCTTTTCTGGCTTTTCCCCAAGCCGGAAAAAAAGCGGCGGCCATGTTTATTTAAATCCCGCGGGGGATATTTAAATCCCCCGTGGATTTCCCTATTCTGACTTGCCTGCTTTGCATGCCTCTTCCGGAGAAGGGGCCAGTCTAGACATAGCCCATGAGGAAAGATGTGGGATATAACTTACACTAAGTATTTGACAGTCTTATATATACATTTAAATTACTGGATTGAAATAATCATATGGCTAATGAATTTTTTTAATTACTTTTGTCTCTTTACCTGAGCCCAAATCCTGTTTTCTTTACTAACATAAGTGTTTCCATTGCTGTCAATTAATCAAATAAATAAAATACTCATTTGGCTCGTATTTTTAAAATCTTGCAAACTGTTGCCTGTAGCATAGTCATAGCTTTATTATTTTGCTAGTTATTGGTAGTGTTTACTTGGGAAACCCTAATCCCCAAAGTTTGAATGCTCTCCTGCACATTTTGCGGCTTTCTCTGCACTCCGGTTCCCCATCCTTCTCCACGAACTTCTAAGCGCTCTATCATTCAATTCTTTCCCATCTATTCTTGTCACAACATTTTTATCCAGCCAGTTATGCACCCACCTTATAGTAACCCCATCTAGGGTATGTCTACACTACCCTCCTAGTTCGAACTAGGAGGGTAATGTAGGCATACCGCACTTGCAAATGAAGCCCGGGATTTGAATTTCCCGGGCTTCATTTGCATAAGCGGGGAGCCACCATTTTTAAAACCCCGCTGGTTCGAACCCCGTGCAGCGCGGCTACACGGGGCACGAACTAGGTAGTTCGAACTAGGCTTCCTAGTTCGAACT